CAACAACAACAACAACAACAACAACAACAACAACCTCAACACCAACACCAACACCAACAGCAACAGCAACAGCAACAGCAACAGCAACAACAACAACAACAACACCAGCAGCAGCAGCAGCAGCAACAGCAACAGCAACAGCAACAGCAACAGCAATCCAATGGTGATCCAAGGGGCAGTCACTGACGAACACTCATCTTTGGTGAAGTACATCTTGTCACCCTCTCGTGCACCTGGCAAGTCAATGTTTCTAGAGGCAGGGGTGTAGTTCACTAACACAGTGATCATCACAGAGGATGTGTCATTCTCAGTCCTTGCCTGTGAAAGTAATCTGAGTGGCCTTGCCAGCCTCGAAGAAAAACAAATGTCTCGCGCTGCCACCGGAAGGCCGTTTGCACGAAACTCCTCCTTCCCCTGTAAATCTTGTGTGTTGTTCATCTTTCCATCCAACAATGATCAATTGATATCTTGTGTATACTTGGAAGAAAACATTACAGTAAAACACCACTCTACAAAGACCATCAATGCCCTTTCTGGCCAAGATTCTGAAATGGAGCTAGGCGATATGCCAATCCCTCCAAGGACTAGCTGTAGCTTGGCAGCCACGAGCCATAACACGACACGATCGAGTGCCTCATGAAGCACCAAAAGCAACACTCTGAGCAGAACCAAAGCACCAAAAGCAGGCGGTTGTGCCCAGTTTTCTGAGGCGCACACCATGCAATTCAATCTATCAAGAAGTGATGTATGCAATAAACAAGAACTCCGCTGGCTAGCTGCATGCCAGCCTTGAGCCAGACATGGCTCCCAGCCAGTGAGGTTAAAGACCCGATGCACACCTAACTGGCTAGTAAAAGAACTGCCAAGCTGCAAAGAAAAACGACCAAATCAGGTGGCCTCTTCTTTGTGGTGACGAGGATGAGGCATCACATCAACTAAGACTAAGAAGGAAACGTCACCACCAACCAGGACTCAAAAAAAATCTGTCGTTCTGAGTGAGAAAATGCTCCATTTAATTTGGCCACTGTGTGCTGGGAGCCCAAGCTGCAGGAAGAGTCAAGAGTCAACAATCAACGGTGGACGCTCAAATGCAGGAATACATGTCTTTGAGATGTGGTCGAAGGAGAAAAACATACAAAAAACACCTCAATGACAAAGAGCTCTCTCCACCTTGGTGCCGGAGACCGCGTTGGCTGGCAGCGCCTGCGGAAGAGCAGGTTTCAGACAAGGTTGCTCGTGCTCTTCGGAAGCTTCCGTGAAAAGTGCTCGCTCACCCACCCCCCAAGCAGAATAAAAGCTTGACATAGCTTAACAGTTAACAAGTGCCAAGTCTTTGGTTCGACACATTTTGGCCCAGGATGCCTCACCCGAAAGTCTTCGCCAAAGCCTGCACCTTGGAATTCGACAAATGATAGGACCAGTCAATGGGAGCTCAGCTTGACAAGGTCTTAGCTCAATGGATGTGACAAGGACCATCTGCAATCCCAGCAGGGAGCAAAAGGCCACATCCTGCGATCGAATTCGATCAGGTCAACCGCATCCTGAGCGGTCCCTGTACCTCTTGAGGCACCAGAAGAAGCAAGTCAAACGACTCGGCCAACCTCCATGAGCCCGCGGAAGGTCTCGCGCATGTCATCTTCCAAGATGAAAGATGGCAAGTGAACTACGACGGTTCCGCCCCTGAAGTCCAAGAGTTAACAAAAAAGAATTGCTGACTAAAATGCAAAGGTCTCGGCTAGTTTGTCAAAAGCTCACACTGCAGACTTTTCCAAAATACAGCTGCCCGCCCATACAGAACGATATTGCACACCATCCCTCTTGTCATTGCTTAGACAGACATTTGCATTCCTTGCAATTGTCTGTTCTGTCAATCTTGAACAGCACTATCCGAATCCTCTGGTGCTGAAGAATTGAAGCATCATGGATGTGTGACATCCCCTGACAAAGCGGAACCTGAAAGCAGCTATGTATGGTGCAGCATTCCTGCAACACACAAGCTTGTCATAGGTACCCCTGATACTACTTGGCAATCTTGAATTAGACCAATTTACACAATGCTGCAATCACTGCCGTGTCCTGAATAGCGATATCCAATCGCCCTCGGCCTGCACAGTTTTGATCTTATGGCACCATGGTCTTTGAAGGACATCACTGCAATGGCCTCCAACCTAATAGCGATGGCCTCCAACCTAATAGCGATGGCCTCCAACCTACTAGCGATGGCCTCCAATCTAATGCAATAGCCTCCAACCTAATGTCCATGCTGCTTGCACTTTTCAAGTTCTGTATTCACATTGTCTCAAGCCTCTCGGTACACGTGTCCTTGCTGGGGAGGAATTAGCCGAAGGGCTTCCAGGGGAAAGGGCAAATCAGCCTAGCAATTGGCCAACGGATCAAGCATGGCATGGTGGCTGCAAGCAGGATGCAAGTTTACAATTCCTTCCTTTTGTTCCGTCTCAAACACCCAGTTGGCAACTGATCAAAAATACTTCTACATTGCTGTTTGAAGGGATTGCCGCATGCAGGGCCACGCCTTTGGAAAAACAAAAGGTCCTGACAAAGCCAGCAGGGTACCAGAAATCATGATGCAGGCAAACTTGATCCAAGTTCCTGTCTCTGGGAGGCCTCTTTGTGCCTGCAAGAAATCCGAAACAAATTTGGAAAGGTATTCGTTGCAATCTGTCCTAAAGAACATGTATAAAATCTGCATGAGAACGGCCTCTCTTTGTTGCTCCTCAAAGGTTTCAGCCCCAGCTGCATCCGATCGCAGGCGGCGATTCTCCTCTTCCAGCCTGCCAAGCACGGAAGTCTCCACACACTTATTTGTGAAACATGGAACATGTGCATTGATTGAAAAACTGTTCATGGAAAGTCCCAACCATTTGAATGAGTGTTCGCCTTGAAATTTGCTGTTGCAAATTCTCCACCAATCGCTCAGGCGTTGCACGCTGTGTGACACGACAGACCAAGGCAGCAATGCAAAGCTGTCCTATACATCATCATGTCAACAAGGGCTCAATTCCCACAAATGTAAATTGGGTTCTTCAAAGTGCAGCAAGCTTTTTTGCCACCATGTCTAGTGTCCTGCACGGTGGTGCCACAGACAATCTGAAACAAGCTGTGAGCGCTGGGGGTGCACACTTTGGGCACCGTTTTCACAAATCCTCCGCAAGGAAACGGTTGACTGCCCACATGGCGCGCACAACATAAGCACTATTGTCTGTTGAATGTGATTATGTTTTCGTTTGCAAAACTCAACTGATTCAAATCCACTGATTGCGCAAAACGACATAATCTATTTTGTGCAGCTTGTGGAACTTTCACTCACAAAAATAGGTTCTGTCCTCTCCCATGCCACGGGTTTTCGTAACGATTATCCGCTGAATGTTGCCCTGCATTTCACCGCTGGTCCACACCCCCTCATAGTCTGAGCCAGCGCTCTGACAAGAATGAAACAATGTGAGTTCAAAAAGGAGTATTGGTTTGTTGAAGGAAAATCAAACATATGGTTTGATAAAGATCAATATGTCCAAGAAAGGATAAAACGTAAGAAGGTTCACCATTGCCCGAAACATGGAAAAAAAACAAAACGATGCTTCGTTCGTGTTCCTGTTGACTGACGCACAAACAAAAATGGCAGTTGTGGGATTGCAAAAAACTAAGAACGTGGTCTTGGATGAACACTCCTCCATTGAGGAAACGAACGGAGAACCATACGAGGAGTGCGCACTTAAAAAACATGGAAAAACACGGAAAGAGACGTGCAACAGCATCAATTGTTCGTTGTGTAACTCTCACAAATGCAGGCCGTTTCACGCGGCCTGATTTGCAGCCACTGTGTGACTGTTCATGCAGGGGTCATGCTGCTTTTGTTTTGTCACCGGCCACAGTTTTCACCATCAGTTCTTTCTCTTTTTCTCTCTCTCTCTCGTCTTCAACATTGCATTCTCCATTGGAGCACAGTTTCCTCAAATCCAAGCAACTGGATCTTCGCTTTCTTCAAGCGGTCAATTACTCCCATGCACGCTGACAGACCTCACTGTGAGCCTCTTCTTGTTGCTCTTTAGCCTGTAGACTTGATCCACTTTCGATCCTTGTTGAACAGATGGTGGCTGCATGGTGGGGGTCACATTTCCACACAGCCACAGTGAGCAAATGCCTCAATGTAATCCTACAACACCCATGTGGTCACTTTTGTGACGCTCAAGCAGCTGATGGAACATTGTTCAACTGAAGGTGTTTTGCAATCAGATCTGTGCCAACGATCCCAACGCCAATTGGCGCTGTCAAGATCTTGCACAAAGAGTTCACTTCGGAAGGCAACAAAGTTGCAGACAAAGGGAACAAATCACCGAGCTTTCAATTCCACTGTGGAGCCGATGGAACGCCATGTGCACAAGATTTCAACATTTGCGGCAAACATGCCGTGAAGAAGCTCCCAGAAGTCCCATTCCAAAAAGGCTGAGCAGTAGAGTTCCATGATTCTGTGTTCTGGGCCATCTGGGTTCTCGTCTCTTTCAACTGCATAAGCAGCATCTTGATTCTTCTTCTTTTCAACTTCGCTTCATCCATTTCAGAGTTCGCAAGATGGGACACCTCACCAGCCGTCGTGCATCATTTCACTTGCAAAGGCTGGGGGGCTCACTAAAGGCACAACAATCGATGAGCGGGCAGCGAAAACTTGTCCCCTTCACGCAACCGAATGACTCAAACAACCGACCAACCGTACACTTGGAATGCCTTGGCGCAAGTGTGGAGCGCCCCGTTTGAAGAAGCGCCGGGACTACAATGTTAAGGCTGCGTTTCGTGGTTTTCCGTTGGTCTTTGTGTTTTCTTGGAAGTTCCTCACTTCGATCCAATTAAAACTTTGTAAAACGCAAATGGGGCGTCGGTACCGCGCATTGTAATAGAGGGCCCGAGCGGTACCGAAGCGGTACCGAGGCGGCACCGCGCATTGTAATAGAGGGCCTGCGGCACCGAGGCGGCACCGTGCATTGTAATGAAGGGCCCGAGCGGTACCGAGGCAGCGCCGCACATTGTAATAGAGGGCCCGAGCGGTACCGAGGCGGCACCGCTTATTGTATTAAAGGGCCCGAGCCGTAATGAAGTGGTACCGAGGTGGTATCGCGCACTGTAATAGACGGTCCGACCCAACCCAGATTATAACCGCAAAAGCCCTATATAGTGCGTTGCAAGGGAAAATTTGAACGTTGACGCTAAGATGGAACCGGGACCCGGGCGGAAGCCTGGCGTAGCTTGCAACAAACATCAAGGACGCGAGCTCAAAACCTCAACAACATCTTTTCAAAGCCCCATCCTTCACAACATGCATCCATGGAGCCTGCCTCGCAGTATTGCACACACTAAACCCTCAAACCTTTACTAAGGCGCAAAAGGGGCTCCCCCCTTGATTTACCGCAAAATGGTCCGTTTCATATCAAACTTTGCTTAGCCAGGGCTAAATCCGTGACCGGCTTCAAAACCATGGTTTTAAGCTATTGCGCCCTAAACCCTCAATTGAACACCCGAACACTTTGAGGTCAGTCACTGAGACCAGATAATCCATAACATGATCCTCAAGGTCCTCAAATCGGTCGAACTTCGCAATGCTGAGAGAGACATGTGTTGTCGCGCCCGACAGTTAGTACCAAGCGGCAGTCCATAACCGGCTCCCTTTCAGGGGGGGGTGCTGGCTGGCGCTGCTGAACTGGTTGGCAACCCCTTCAGCGGTATATACCCACTGCAAAGAACAGCGCTCAGCAAAGGCTTTGCAGCCAAACTCCCGGCAACCAGGGGCAGTGACACTGTTGAGCAGTTTACAAGTTCTAAATGCGTTGTCAGAAATGCCAACGACTGTTGCCGGCAGTTTGACGATTCGGAGCTGTCGGCATGATTGCCATGCTTCTGGGCCGACAAGTCTGATACCTGACTCAATGCTGACATGACGCAGCCGTGACACTCCTGCGAACGCCCCTTGGGACTACGTCCCTCTGATTCATGGGGACGTGGACAGCAAGCGGGATGTTGTGGATGGAACACCCTTCTAGGAGTTCCTGCGGGGGAGGACTTCGGTGCAATCCTTAGCACAATTGCGGCCTCGAGTGTTTCAAGGATGTACGGCCCTACATCACAACTTGGGTGAGTCAGGGTGTAGTCCTGCATTCCGAACCCAAGTTTGCCGGGACTGCTGCTTTCTGGAAGCAGGCATTGTCGCACTCTTCCTGCCGCCAGATTTTTGACAGGACAGGATCGGCCGCATGTGTGAGCTGCCAGCAGCTGCAAACTGTTGATTTGTCCCAAACGGGCGTCATTGAAATTTTGGGCTCAACTTTTGCATGCTGCTCACAGCTGCAGCAACTCAGCCTTCGCCGAAATTTTAGGATCATTGAGCAAGAAGCCTTTCTCAATCTCAAGTGATCCCTGCTTTACAGAGCCAGCGTTCGTAAAAAAGGGAAAAGCCAAACATGGCAGGGTGCATATGCCCGGGTGTGAGCAACTAGACAACCCAAGTGGCTCCGATTCTTGCCGCCAAACGCCAAAAGCCCAATGGAGAGAAGACTTTCAAGAAGCCATACCCAGGGTTCTGTGTTCCCGTAGGTTGTCAGCCACTCCACCTGGGCTTTGCCGTGGGTCACGAAGCAGGATTCGAAAGAATGGCTGTCTTGGAACTGCTGGGACGAAGGCGGACTTGAGGTCTACATCTTGTTGAGCTTCTTCACAAATGAGCACGTCAAGACTTTCCATGTGCGCTCTGAGGGACGAGTGGGTTTGCCCTTTTTGCTCCCAGATGAGCCACGGCATGCTGGGCAGGGCAACAACTGATTTCCCTGGGCAAGAATCAGGCCGGCTGACAAACAGTGCAGCTCCTGCTTTTATTTATTTTTATTTTATTTTTTTTATTTCCGTCGCATTGAGACTGAGTCCGAGTCCCAAATGTCAACTGCCCAGCCATTGGCGAGACAGTAAACGAACTGCAGGTCAAAAACAAAACCCCGACGGGGTGAGTCAAAAACTCACGTGCACCGAACACATGAGCAACTCATGGAGCAATGACTCCAGAACATTAACGCGCACTCTTCGCGCCCTGGTACCAATACGCGTATTGGACCGAAACCAAGGAAACAAAACTTGCATAAATTCGGCCCGAGGCTTCCAAACAAGGAATGTTCATACCGAAACCAACAGGGGCAAACTGACTGCCGACAACTTCTTTGAGAGCTCCAAAGCTCGAAAGAGCTCAAGAGACAGCTCTGGCCTATGCAAGACAAATCTCGCCTGGATCCCTGAGAGCTTGTGATTTCCAGATACGATCCGCTGAACCACCGGTAACCTGACGCCTGGAACAAGAATACCGTATCTACGTTCAAGAAAGGCTAAATCACTTCTCCAGCGTTTGAAGCTCCTATGGACCCTTGGCATTGAAAGCATCCAATCCTCATGGTCTCCCGGCAGTATTCGGATTTTCTCCGAACCACCAAAAGGCACAAATTCGAAGGGAGGGATCGTCGATGTGTCCGAAACAAAATGAACAAAAACTTCAAACCACGAGGTATCCGTAACTGATCCGTCGGAATTGCAAGTGAA